AACTTTTTAGTAAGCTACTTTAGGTTTACCTAAACTCTAAATCTTATATTAAGAAAATTTTAGTAGCTAGAAGTTTAATAAATAGTTAAAAACTACTATTAGTTCTATATAACCTATATAAGAATAAAACCTACTAGATATACTAGATATAAAAAACTATAGTTACTATTTATACTAGCTAATATCTAGAAGAATATTATAATAAACTTTATTACTAAGTTACTTTTAAGTACTCTAGAAGAGTAAGAGTATAATAGTATACTTATAGTTATATACTACTTCTCTAAAATAGTATACTTTATACTATTTAGAGATAATCTAAATATACTAAAACTAGCTAAAACTTTCTATTAGAAGATTATATACTTTTATAGCTTACTAAAGTTAGTAGTTACTAATAGAAAAGTGCTATTTATATTAGTATACTAAAGTATCTTTACTTAATACTTAGAGACTAGATAACTACTATTAATAGCTTTTTATCTTTAGACTAATAGCTAGATAAAGTATATAAATTAAGTTCTAGAGTAATACTTTAGAGTCTATATAAACTATAAGTAGAATAACTAAATAACTTTACTAGCTAATACTAAGTTTATATATAATAACTCTAAATATAACTTAACTAGTATTACTTTATTTAAGCTAGTGTATAGCTATATAATTCTATTTATACTAAAGTTAACTAGTCTAGATTTAACTAAACTATCTAAGTACGCGCTCTAAGACTAAAAACTATATAAAAAAGTATATAAAATAGTATAATAGAACTTAGTAAAAGTCTAAAAGTACTAATAAAAAGTATATAATAAAAGCTATAAGTTTAAGAAGTTTAAGATTAGTAATTAAATTATACTAGATATATATAATATCTATATAACTAAATTTAAAAAAAAAACTAGACTATAAGTACTAGAGCTTACTTAAAGTAATAGAATAGATTAGTAAGTAAGCCTACTAACTAGATCTTCTAGAAGATAGTAGAATCTATCTAGTTTTCTATATTAGTCTACTAAAAAACGCTTCTAATACTAGTCTAGTCTAGAGAAACTAAGATCTACTATATTATATTACTTTATAAATAGGTAATAACGTATATAAAGTAGATAGAATACTTAAAAAGTAAAGAGTAGAAATTTTTTAGATATACTTAGTTAAATAAATAAGCTATCTAGACTCTAATAATTAATAGCTACTTTTAGAGAAGATTTTTTTTAGTACTATAAAAGTATTTAAGAAGTTCTAAGAATACTTTAACTAGAGATAATTATACTAAAGTAAGTTTAGAAAGAGCTAGATAAATCTAGATTAGTCTAGTCTAATATTCTAATAGAATAGGCTAGAGAATATATTAGATTAAATAAATTAATAAATTTTCTAAGTATAATAAACTTTAAAATTACTTAAATCTTAATTATAAGTATAAAGAAATTAATTAGTACTTTAAGTCTAATTTAGTTATTTTTATAGTAAAATAATATTAAAAGATATTAAAAGACGTAAAAAGACTTTAAGCTAGTCTCTTTTAGAACTACTAAATAATTTTAATATTAATTTAGTATATATTACTATAGTAATATAGTTATTTTAGTTTATAGTATAGACTTATTCTATACTTATCTATACAACTTTCTTTATACTATAACTAGAAATAACTAGAAATAACATAATATATAGTAATAGCTATACTACTAATAGAGCTAGCTATATTTATTCTTTATTAACTATTAACTATTAACTATTAACTATTAACTATTAACTATAATATAACGCTGTATTAACTTTTTAGGTAGATAGTACCTAATAATAATAACTATCTATTCTTAACTATAAAGCTTTATAGCTATTATAGTAGCTATCTACTTAAGTATAGTAATACTTAAGAAACTATCTATAAACTTCTTCTTATTATTATTTAATATACTATTAAAATAGCTAATAATTCTATTTATAGCTCTAATCTATAACTTTATAGTATTAAAAATAAGTCTAGAAAAGCTTAGTTCTATAGTTAGTACTAGTTTATATATAAAAGTGTAAATATAAATAGTATAAGTCTCTAGCGTATCTATAGTAATAGAATAGCTCTAATTAATATTAATAATAAGCTTAGAGTAGTAAAAAAACTTATATATATTAGTAGTAAGTTCTTTAATAGTAAGACTAGTAAAAAGAAAAATTAATAGCCTTACTTTAGATAAATATATCTATAAGATAATAGTAGTAATAAGAGCTTTAGAGCCTTTAATAGTATTAGTAAAGTAGCTTTTTATATATTTTAGAATACTTTTTATAACACTTAAAATATTAGGTATTATATTATAGATAATATCTTATTTTATAGCTACTAAAATAGCTTTAAAGATAGCTTCTTTAATAGTCTCTTTTTTAGTAGATATAAAATAGCTTATAGTAGATACATAATAGTAATATAATTTAGAGAAAAGTAATTAAAGTAGATAGATAAGAAAATAATTTAGTTAAGTATTAGTAAGATAGTAAAGTAATATAACTAGTAAGAAATTAGTTTTATTCTTATAAACGCTAAAGAAACTTATAAGTTATTTAATATAGTAGTGTAGTATTTAGTATTAGATTTAAGCTACTTACGTCTTTAATATATCTTTAGATTTCTAAAAGTAACTTATAAAATAGAAGAAGCGCGCTTTTACTAAGATTTTAGTATATATATTCTAACTATAAAGCTTTAGAATATATTACTCTATTAGTAATAAGCGTATATAATTAAATTATAATTCTCTTATAAAGTCTTTTTATAAAGTATTTAGTATTATAATTCTTTTATAAAGTATTAGAATAGCTACTTTATAGACTTAAAAAATTTAAAAGCTTTAACTATTTTAAAGATAGTAGCGCTAAAGCTCTAAGCCTTAGCTTACTTAATACTATACCTCTAAGAGTAGATAAAAGATTTAGTTATATATTCTTTAGACTACTAGTAATAGTTCTTACTTTTTTAGAATTAGTAGCTTTTTAAGCTATAAGTATTACTACTTAAGATTTAGATTTCTACTTAATAATAAAGAAATTAATAATTATATTTCTAGAGCTAAAGCTAATCTATACTAATCTAAACCTATTTAGATTAAATAGTAACTAATTACTATATAAAAAATAATAATAAATAAATTAAAACTAAAAGAAACTCTAAAAAGTCTAACTTAGACTAATTTATACTAGAGTATTTTAGATACTAAACTCTATAACTAAAAAAATACTAACTAGAATAAAACTATCTAAATTAATCTAAAGATAGCTTTAGATAGATTTAGACTACGCTAAGTTAATTTAAAGTAGAGTAGAGTAATTAGCTCTAAAGCTATCTCTAGTAGCTTTAGATAGCTTACTCTTATTTAAAAATAGTAAGTTAATAAAACTTTTAATTTTAATCTCTAAAGCTAGAACTTTCTTTTTAAAAGAATTTATATTTTTTTTTTTCTAAACTAAATTAGATAAGTTTAGATTAGAATAAAAAAAAGTATACTTATATACTTACTAAAAGTCTTAGAAGCTCTATTAGTATTACTATAAGACTTAGCTTTTTAGATAACTCTAAAAATCTTAGTATTAAACTAGATATACTTACTAAAGTATAGAGGCGTATTTTTATTATTAATATATTAAATAGTATTTCTATTTAAATTAGTATAAATTAGTATAAATTAGTATAAATTAGTATAAATTAGTATAAATAACTTTAAATTACTTATATAGTAAAGGTAGTAGTCTAAACTATAATATTCTACTTTAGAAATAACTTATCTATATTAAAGGCGTTTAAAATATTATAAAATAAAGTATTTAAGAGTATCTAAAAGTATATTTTATAGATTTTAGCTTATATTATAATAATACTAAAGATAGTATACTTAGGTAGCTAGATTAGTCTAGATTAGTTTAGATTATACTAAAATAGTATTATATACTTAAAAATAATCTTAACTAGATAAGTTATAATTAATATAATAAAGAAGAGTTAAAGCTTTCTTCTTACTAATAATATAAAATACTATTATAGTAGTTCTACTTTATAAAGTTTAAGTTAGTATAAATTAGTCTAGATAGCTCTAAAAAGAAGTACTAATCTATATTTTATAGTTCTTATTTAGTAGATAGTAGTAAAGTACTAGATTAGTCTACTAGTTATTCTTAATAGTAGTATATAAGATATTACTATAGTATATATAACTATTTAGATTATATTTAGCTTTAGTAGTTATATCTCTTAGTTACTAGACTCTAAGTACTTATATTATAACTAAATTAGTATAGATAGAACTAGATTAGAATTAAAAATAGCTAGTTATTACTAAAATACTCTAAGTAGTAAAAAATAAAAATAGATAGCGTAAGATTACGCTAAATTATAGTTAATAGTATTAGTTAATAGGCTTTTATACTTATTAGTAAAAGAAAAAAAAAGATAAAGCTAGACTACGCTAAATCTACTTAGATCTACTCTAATCTAGAGTAGTCTAAACTAATTTTAATATATAAAGATTTTAAAAATACTTACTAAATAATAAGTAGAAGTAAAAAGTCTAAGTAAGTAGCTTAAAAAGAGATTCTCTAATATTAATATATAGACTATATTTTAGCTAGAGCTTAGCGCTTATATAATTTTCTAAATTTTTTTTTTTTTTTTTTTTAATTCTCTATTTTATATAAAATACACTTCTAAAGAAAAAAAAAACTTTATTATAACTACTTAGCTATAAACTACTTTAAATCTTTTTAAATCTTTTTAGACTATACTAGCTTATATAAGTATAAGCTTTACTAGTATTAAAACTTAAAGAAATCTTTTATAAGTAATAGCTCTACTTAAATTACTTAGTAAAGGTTTATGTTTATATAATTCTATATTAATCTATTCTACTTTTATAATATACTTAAAGTACTATTAACTAAACTAAACTATAGTTTTACTTTATAGAAAAAAAAGAGCTTAAATACTTAAATATTAAGGTTAGAATAGGCTAGAATAGACCTAGTAGTAGTAGTAGTGCAATTTCGTCGCTTGCGGGACTTCCTGGAAGTGCGTCGTAATTGCTGCTCTTGAACAATTGTGCGTTTCGCAGTGCAGCTGCGAGCCACTCGAAGCAGGCAACTAGGTTGTCGAGCACAGCACTAAGAATGTCCTGCAAAAGACTAGCAGTATGTTGGTTGTAGACAGTCGATTCGCCGGTGTTCAGGAGGTCCTTGAACTGGGTGAGTGGTTTGATGATTTTTCGGGTATTTTCCAGTGCCTCTTGAGTACGGCAGGGCAGTTTGTCTGCATTGGCTGATGACCGACGTTCCAGAAACCCGATCGCTGCAACGATCACTTTCCGCTGGATTTCGGTAAAGTTTGAGTTGAGAACATCGCGGGCGTCACCCAGAAGCAATGACCTGAAGTGGTAACCTTCCTGCAGCATGAAGTTATCAAGGTCATCGCCAGGCTTGCTTAGATAGTCGTAAAAGTTGCGGTCTTTGCTGCCTTTCTGGATGCGCGAAGCTATCTTGGCGGTCGAGGTCAAGAGCACGTAGTTACGTAAATTGTCTCTGGCCAATGCAGCTGTACTCTTTGATGTTTGTTCGTAGGTTGCCTTGATCAAGTGCACGAGATTGGCTGCATGCTGAGAGAAACTGACAGTTGTCCGGGGATGCGTCACTCCTTCCAGATGTCTCTCTGTCTTGGAAAGCAACCAGCAGCCGATTGAGTCTCCCATATCATCGGCAGTAGTCAATGGAATATGGACTTGTAGGGCAGGGTGATGCTCTTGCTCGTCCAACGTCTTGCTTCGCTGTTCATTGCAAAGGCCCTGCACATACCCAACAGCCGCTGCAGGACCTGGCTCGCTCTCTTCTTCCGCTTCAGAGGCAGTATCATCTTCTGTGAGCAATACGCCGCTGTCATCGCACACTGTTTGGAACAGAATCTCTCCTGCGTCTGATGCTGTCACGGCGACAACTTCCACATCACGGACCAACAAGTTGGTAAGCTTCTCTGCGAACGGGTATAGCTTGTTGTTTGACTGCCCGGAATCGGTAGTATTCGTACTGACCGTGGCGTTCTTCTTAAGAGGATTCGTCCAGGCCAGTACAGTTGTGAGGAAACGAAATTCGTAGAGTTCCTCCTTGGTGAGGAACTTATCCTTGAGCCCGTACTGGAATACGCTCATCGTGACTCGTACTGCTGCAGTTGGGAGCTTACCGCAGCTAGAGTAGTTAGGGGGTGGTGTGCTGGAATAGTTCGGCGTTAATTCCGGTTCAAGTGTGCGAGTGGAAGTTCAGCTCAGCCGCGATTTGGTAAATGTCCGTGGTCTTGGATCGTGAATGCAGAAGCCTTGGAGGAAAAAGATGTTCCCTAGTACTGTCTTCACAGTAGAGTCATACTTGGCTACCATGGTTGAGCACCTAGGTATGGATTCGACCATCCCTACGAACCCCGGCAAACCATTGTTTAAGCGAACCGTTCCATGGTACTGGTGATGAGTGTTAATCGTTTGTCATTCCAAAGTCATTATCATAGGAAAGCCATATCCATCTATCTACAAATACTTCATAATCATAACTCCGTCGTCACAATCCCTAAAACCCGCGCCCCCACACCTTAATACCCATAAGCCTTGCTTGTAGCCCTCGGCCGTCCAGCCAACGTAGCGATATCATCCGGGTTAACAGGCGCCTGAGGCCTGCCACTCAACGTATCAACCGTCTCCTTGAGCGCCATCCAGAACTCATGCTTGGGGCGGCGGCGGTGCCACTCCGTCTCCCTCTTCTCCACTTGCTCCATGGGGGAAAAGAGGAGCTTGCTGCCCTTGATACCGATGACGCTGATGGACATAGAGTCGTCTTCGATCTCGTCGGGGTCCATGCCGGCGTAGTTCTCCAGATGTTGCATAGCCTTGATGGCGAATCTGACGGCTCGGACACGGTCCATGGGGGAGGGAATGGTGCCTTGTTGGAAGTGGCCGGGTACTCCGTGACGGGACTCGAATTTGCCTTGGCCGGCTTCCGCGATCATTTGGGCGATGATTTGCACGTTGTAGGTCTTGGATGCCTTCTCGTTGACTAGGATTACCTTACCAGACCTGCTGATACCCTTGTCCTTCTTGAAGACCTCGCGGAGGTGGTCAATGTCGCGGTCGAGCATCTTGAGGCTGATGCCTTCTTCGGGAGTGTATACGCCCATAGCTCCGATACTGAGACCGGCGACTGTTGCGATGTAGCCTGATTCACCACCTTGAGTCTCGATAACGAAGACACGGCGACGAGATGCTGATGCCGATTGACGGCAGGCATCGGAGTATTGAATGAGTGCATTCAGGCAGGTATCTGAACCGATGGAGTACTCTGTTCCGGGGACGTTGTTTGAGATGGTGGCAGGAATAATGACCTAAAGTCGAGTTAGCATGCTGCTCATCTTGGAATTGAAACAACTTTATCAGGAGATGCACTTACCATAGGAATCTTGAAAGACTTGTAGTACTCGCGTGCTTTCCTCAGCTCTGAAACAGCTGTGAAAGCCTCGAAACCACCAACAACGAACAGTGACTGGATGTTGAACTTCTTGAAGACGAACGCAACAGTCTCGAGATCCTCACTAGGGAGCCCACGGTTCGTTCCGATCTCAGATCCACCCTTGGAGGCCCAGGTCTCGGCATCAATCCATTTGATGTCTCGCACCGCGCCAACTGGCTCATCGGAGTGGTGGCGGATTATGCCAGGGAAACCGTTGTGGAGCGCGACGGGTGTGTGGCCGCGGGCGATGCAGTGTGCAACCGCAGCACGGGTCGCTGCGTTCATGCCTCCAGCTGGGGCTCCGACGTGGATGATACCAACGCGCATGCGCTTGTTCTCTGGTAATAGAAGGTCTGGCTGATCTTGTGCGGTAGTGATTTGGTAGGCCTGGTATTGTTGCTCGAACTCGGTGTCACGGAGCTGCATAGCCCTTGAGAAGTTCTTGTTCTCGATAGCTACAGCAACTTCCTTGGTTTGTGCAACAGCCTCGAGGAGTGGCCGTCGGACGATCTTGTTCTCTTGCATACAGATAACTGGGCTGGGCGTGTCGGGGGTAGCCTCCAACACCGCCTTGACAGCTTCAACACCTTGGAGTGTCGCAAGCATACGGTCGTAGGCGCAGGGCGTACCTCCACGCTGGACGTGTCCGAGAGTTGTCACTCGTGTGTCGAGCTTCGCCTCCTTCGCGAGAATGTCCTTGACCTGTTCTGAGGTGATCTTGTTCAAGTTACGATCGATGGCACCCTCGGCGACAACGACAATGGTCTTCCGCTTGCCCATTTGTCTCTGCTTCTTGATCTGTTTGCACATCTGTTCCTGCCAGCCTTCGCTTGGTGGGTTCTCGGGTGTGAAGACGAAGTCGGCGCCTGTTGCGACACCGGCGCTGAGTGCGAGCCAACCGCAGTGTCGACCCATAACCTCGATAACGAAAGCACGCTGATGACTGACGGCGGTGGTGTCGACTGAATCGATCGCTTCGCAGATACGTCCGAGCGAGGTGTAGCAGCCGATGGTAGCGTCGGTCATGGAAAGGTCGTTGTCGATGGAGCCGACGAGACCGACAATGTTCAGATGCTTGAAGGGCTCAACCTGCTCCTGTGTGAGCTGCTTCTCTTGCACCAGCTCCTTCAGCAGCTCCGGCCACTCCGCGCGGAACTTGTCAGCACCTGTGAGGGATCCGTCACCACCGCAGATAATCAGCGCGTCGATACCCTTGATGATCATGTTCTTCGCGGCCGTCCGGCGGCCTTCGCGCTGCATGAACTCCATGCATCGTGCTGTGCCAATGAGGGTACCGCCTTCTGACAGGAAACCTCTGACGTCTTCCCAGTGCATCTCCTTGATCATGTCTCCGCCCTTGACCAGACCGTCGTAGCCCTCGTATATGGCAAAGGCCTCGCAGTTGTTGTGAATCGCCATACGCACTACAGCGCGTACCGCTCCGTTCATGCCGGGCGCGTCACCTCCGCTCGTCATGACTCCAATGCGCCTCTTCTTGCCATCGAGGGGCGGCGGGATCTCGGTGGGCGCCATGTTGTGAGTCTGGGTGTTGTTGATTGGGGTATTAGGCGGGGTGAGAGGTGTAGATTGAAGTTGAGGTAGTAAGTGGAGGCTGGAGGTAGTCGCAGCTGGATGCGAAGGTCCGAAGAGATATTTGGCCGTGGGTCAGTATGAGGTCAATGTGGATTCACCTGTCTAGTTGGAAAAGTTAAGACGCCGAGAAGAAGCGGGTCCCTACGTGTTGGGAAGATTCAGGTCTCAACGGTGGTTGGAGGGGTAGCTTTGCCGAGTCCTGGGTGGTTGTGAGTAGCAGAGGTAATACGATTAGTTGGTGATTAGATGACCTCTACGTGGTGTTTATGTATCACAGGCAACAGTTGTTGGTATTACTCAAACTGGCGATAAGGTGATGGGAGTCGGAGCATGGGTCGCGGCGTCGCGCGCATGTGACGTGGGAGCTCTAAAAGAAAAGAGCTCCCTGGTCCGTCAAGTGGGGTCACACCACTCCGCCGATCAGCCCGAGCCTTGAAGGATCGTCTGGCGAACTCCAACACCGGCCACCGGCACGTTCCTGGCATCGGACGACCTTTGCGTTTCTTGAATTGGTGTCGGTTGCATGCCAACAATGGCCAAGATGGCGAGACATTGCCTGCGCCACGGTCACCGTACGACTACGGTGACATGTCCTTCTTAGCCATCACCCCACGCGGCCTCTTCCGGCGAAGGCGTCCCAGCATCACGATCACGAAGAGGTCCGATTGGCCGCGAATTACAATGATTTATTGGTATCACTCTATGTCAAGCCAAACGTGCCCAATTGCTGTGCAGATGCTCAATCACCTTTTCCTCACGAACCCAAGCGTTTCCAAGCGCATGCTATGACTGCATTACCAAATCCAAAGACTCCAACCTGCAAACATCTATCGTTACCACCTCGCCTCTAGAAAGCACCAACCTCCTGACCCTCCCTTGCCAGCGTCTCAAACACCCTTGGTGGCAGCTTGTACTTGATCAATCCAGCAAAGACCATCAGGTCCTTTGCCTTTTGCAGGAGCTGATCAGCGAGAACCTTGCGCATCTTGTCCTCGAACTGTCCGGATAGAAGACGCTCACGATGTCTCGAGCAGCAGCCAATGCACCAGAGAAGTACGTTGCCAATGTTGCGCGAGATTTCTTGTGGGTATGAGTTGAAGCTGTTGGCGGTGGCACGGATGTCGCTGACATTGCCGTTGGCGGACAGGGGCAGAATGCGGAGGTTTTCGATTTGCTGCGGAATGTTAGTGACTGATTGTGAGAGACAGTGAAGTGAGAACTTACGCCGAGTGCGGCCATGAAGTCACCGGCTTCAATGATCTTCTTCGCGTTGTTGAGCTGGAATAGTATTCCAACTGTGTCGCGGTTCATCTGCGAGACCTTCCTCCACCATAGGCTGTTCGCGTCGTACAACGCAAGAACCTTCTGCGCGAGCTCGACAGGATCGTCTGTTCCCAGCATGCTCAAACTCGACGAAGTCAGATCGGTTCGTTGTTGTTGCTGCTGCTGTGACTCCGCAGCCGTCAAACGTGGCTTCAACGGCTCCAGACGAAGTGGCTCCTGGCCGAGTTCTACAGAGAGTGCTTCAGCTAGCGCGCGGTTCAGGATCGTTACGACACTGTCATACTCGCCAGCAAGATGGCAGAGTAGGATGGCGTCGTTGATGCGTCCATTGTCGTCTGCCATCCTCGCGGCTTCGCTAGTGATGGTGTTCAACAAGCCCATCTCGCCATCTAGTTTGAGCAACGGCACGCGTTCCTGGATAAGACCCGGTGTCGTCTCGCCGTTGGATTTGACGTCGCCCAGCAAGGTAGAGAACTCGCGCGTCTCGAGAACAAGTTCGCGAAGAGCTTCATGGCAGAGCTCTGCCTGTTGTCGGCCTGCTTCACCTGGTAGATCGGCATTCATGCAGATCAGCACCAGATAGTCGGCCGCCGCATCAGCTCGTGCAGCACGGAAATCGCTTGTGTAGTGGCCAACGATGCGTCCAAAGTTGAGCTGCGGTTGTTGTCGCGTAGTGAAGGTCATGATCTCTCCACCTGCAGTCGTCCAGTCCGACACGCGGATGAGGCCGTAGTAGTCTAGAGCAACCGCGAAGTGAACCGCCGAGACGTAGTTGTGGGTGTACAGGTAGTTGATAGCTGGCTCGAACAGGCCAGCCAGCGTAGCGAGATAGAAGTAAACTCCATATCCGCCCGATGATTCGGCGTCGTCGTTCATGAAGTGGCGCTGGCCAATATCTTTGATGACTGTTCTCAGTTCTTCTAAACCAAAGATCTCGCCGGCGTTCTCCTCAGCGCGGTTGCCTTCGCGGGCCAAGTTGAACTGCAACCATACCCAGTCGTCCATGTTCTCCCTGATCGGCTCCAGGTTGCGCTTGCTCATGTCACATCGACCAACAATCTTGTAGCAAGCCAATCGGTA